CTTGGGGTGTCTATCCATTTAGCTGTCTGCCCTCCCTTTTTGAGGCAGCTTGAGCCTCATCTTCGGTGCATGCATCATCCTACTCTCTTCATCTCCGCCTTTCTCCCCTTTTTGATTCCTAGCCTCATTTTATTCCCTGATATCTACGCAGCAGAAAAACAGCAGCGATTCAAAGAAGCAGGGCAACAGACATCCACAGAGATGAAGAGATCCCCACCACCACCACCTGCCAAAATGGGCGTTATTAGGGCAGAGGATGGAGCACAATGCTTTCACACTGTCTAGTCACAAAGCCTACAATCAGAAAACCCCCATATTGGAGAATCTGCCTCTCCACCACTTAAAAAGCAAGAGCAATTGCCCTCCCTCCTCAGCCTGCCAGGGAAACACACAAACTATGCAGAGAAAACAAACCTGGGCTATGTGATGACAAAGTAGTGGATGAACAAAGACACGTGCTACGTGTTTTGTCCAACATGCCAGGTGCTCATGCCATCCAGCAACTAGTTGCATGTTCAGTTCCATCAAAGCTGTCTCCCGAACCCACCCGCAGCCCTCCTGGCCAGCTAACGGCTGAATTTTTCAGCTGGAATATACTGCTGTTGTATGGAGACACCATGACAGAAGGAACAGTGATCTTTTAGGCAATTAAAAGTCCCATAGAGGTTGAGGCTGGCTTTGGATTGGTGGAAGAGCAATGAAGATAAAGGAGGATTCAGGGAAATGTACTAAGGGAAACTCTTTTACAAAATTGATGGGCCATTACCTTTTCTCTCTTTCTTGTTAGCGAGCTGCTCAGAAAGCAAAGGGCATGCACCAGCAGTTGAGAAGGGGAGACAAAACCCAACCTGAGGAATGATTAATGTACAGTCCTGCGGCTCGCAAGTGAAAAGAACAACCCTTTCATAGCTTCAGTAGGCTAATATTTTCCAACATGCTTTTAAAGCCCAGAAAAAACATGCCATGGGCTGCTTGTTAAGAAGCAAACAGCACTGACAATTACGCACTGTATACCTGTGATACCACAAATCCTCCATGTGACAATGACCTTACTGATCTTGAAATCAAACTACTTAAGTATGAGGACTTTTCTTATTAACAAACAATAGTAAATGAATCATCATGGCTCTGGTTTCAGTACAGCAGGAGAGAAAGACTGTACAGAGCACAGTGGCTTTTACTGTTAAAAACCCACACATCATCACCTAAGAAACAGCCTCTGCCAAAAGGATGGACAGATACAGTATGTTTATTTTCCTTTAATGCCCATACATATGTATCAAACATAGGCGCTCGGAGCCTACACATATCTGTACACATACATACATACATAACCACCAACTACTCTTGTGGGAACCTGCTTTTGTTCACGGTTTTACCAAGGCACTCCGGCCTTTTTTAAGGTCAAACATATTTTACTGACTGATTAATTGAAAACAAAGGATGCTACCTTTCAAAACATGGAATCGCCACACAGCCTAAGTCAACAAAACAATGAAGCCTCTGCTTATCCAGAACCGTTTTAAATAAAGTAACTCTAGAGGTCAAGATAATAGTGTAACTTACGGAGAGAGTGATTACAGCCTCCTGGAAGACATTTCTGCCTGAGGTGAGTTAGCAGACACATCCTCAGATTAAACTTTCATCAGCAGATCTCTGTGTTTCATCAATCTAAGCTATTACGGCATAGCTTAGAAAATCATCTGGTCAGGCGTCACTAGAAAACCTTTTCATCTTCCAAAGCAAAATCTACCCAAATAAATTACTACAAGCAAAATACAGTTAAAAAGGAGGGCCTGCAGATTGTTATGGGGTTCAAATACCTCAAAAGAGAGGAAAACATACATTTCTACAATATTTTAAAATTTAAACACTGCCTTTCACAATAAATCCAATATATTTTATTATACAGGCTCTTGGACCAGAAGATGTAGTGAATTAACAACATTCATGTGCAACAACTTCTGGAAGAGCTTCATGCCAGAAACTGGGATTTCGTCACCTTCCTGAACGATTAATCCACCAAAGCAGCAATGAGTTCCCCTCAATTTTCTCTGATGATGGCAAACTCTTAATCAGGGAAAGCTGCTTTTGCAATCAATGAATGGCTCTAGTGTTTCTCACCTCAGGACCGATGGTAATTTAACCAGGATAAGCCCAAGGACTGCATGCTAATGTACACATGAAAAGAGATACAGTGCAATTTCTAGCTCAACAATATGGTTTTCTCAACAATATGGTTTTCTCAGCTCAGGTTCTCGTCACCAAATGCTTTTTTCTTGTGTTTTGGTGCTTCTTCAGCAAACTCTACATCGTTTATGCGACCCTTCAAAGCACGTTTCCTATACTGAACCTCTCTACGCTCAAAACACATTGTACATCCGACTACTCAGTCATAAGTGTGTTCTTTCTGCTTGTCTTTTGGATCTTCTACCTGCTATTTAACATCACATGCAGTCTGACTTTACTTACAAATAATGGCTACATTGTTCTACCTACAATCTTATTTTTTAAAATGGGTCAATAAACAAATCAAATTTCAAAAAAATGGGCTCCAGTCCTGAAAGCCATACTGGACACAAGATTTCTGTAGAAGCATCTATCAAAATTCTTAGGAAGGGCTAATAGGAAAGCTCTGAAATCAAACTTCTTATGATGAAAAAAACAGATTCCACTAAAAGTGGCTAAGAACATTATTATGCCAGCAAATGAAATATTAAGGCTGTTTTCGATTGATTGGTTTTGATTGATAAATTATTTCTTGCTGCTGTTTACAGCAACCAATCAAGAAAAGTCATGTTCTCTAGAAACAAGAAATGTTCAGTTTCAACACAGAACAGCCAGTTCCCTCTTCTGATAGGAGAAACATGAGAAGAACATTAGTTTACTTGCTCTACTAGGTTCTCTGTATTGTCAATGACAGAAATAAAATCTCTTTTCAGGCAAAGAGTAGAGGAAGCTTCTACTTTTTATGACCAAGAGGGAGATCACTGGGTTTGTTTTGTTTTTAAACTTTGACATGTACTTCACCCATATACTCCATAACTACAGTATTTTTCTTAACAGAGACATGATTTCTGCAGAAGTCTCAACAGAACTGGAATTCATCTTTGGTCCCCAGATACGGCACAAAGCTGGGCAGGAATGGAATCAGAGATGCTACTTCCTGTGCCTTGTACATAGTTTTTGGTAAACGTTGTGGGATACCATGGCAGGTCAGAACAGACAGAATGACCTGTGCACACACAAGCTTTCCCACCAACTCCTGTCCTACTGATGTGGCTTATATTCATCTAGGAGAGTTTGCTATTGCCTCGCATCCCTGGATATGTTTCACCAAAAGCTTATGACATTCTTGGTGCCACATGATCACAAAAGGCACATTTCTCTTAAACGTCCCCTTTCAACGTCCACATTTCTATGACCAGTTCTGTCTTCACGAAAAGTATGTATCCAGTTTGGAGAACTGTGACTCATTATCTTATTTTATAAACAACATAATGGAATGATTTTGTTTTCCAAAGAAATGTAAATATTTGAAAAAAACTGTAAATGCTTCAAAAAAATTAATGAAAAGCAAAGCTGGCTTCCTTTACTCTGTAAAGCTGCATCACATTTAGGTGCCCCTTAAGATGCTCTATTTATTTCCTGACCAAAGCAAGCTACTACAAAATCTGACTTGAAGGGAAATGTGCAATGCACTCATTTTCTGGGGCAAACAAAGCACTGTAATTGTTTATTCATAAGAAGTTAAAACCTCTTTACTTCCCACCATCTCAAACTGTATTTGCCCCTTTTAGATCTCTCAAAAATCTGCAATGGAAGTGAAAAACAGTAAAAAAAACAAAACCCAAAAACCAACCATCAGTCATTTATAGAAGTAAAAAATTTATAAAGATGGAATTGGCTCACAAAAACACTTATCTTTCCTTTTGGTAATTCAGCCAGAGATAATCAGAAACTTCGGGGGGGGGATTAAATAAATTTCACAAAATCTTTTACTGGGAAAGATTTTTCAGGTCCAAAATGACATTTCCCGTCAAAAGTCAGAGACAAAAACACCCCACTCCTACTACTGCAAATATCTCAATAATCAAACACGGACACAAAAAGCAGCAGGTTGCTAGCGTGATTCAACCCTTACTACCCATGTGTCAGGATGGGTACTGCCCGAAGATCCTGGAGTTGCTCAACGTGAATGGAAACGTTTTTGATAGATCAAAATGCTCAACAGGACAGAGAGACAGCTTGCTGTCCCACTCTAAATGTCACCTTCACAATCCTGTTCCCACAGCAATGTTACATGACAAAGAAGGGTGCTACCAAAAGACTACCAGTCAGGAAGGAAAGCTAAGGAAAGACTGCCTTCAGGGCAGGAAGGCCTTTAGCATGCACTTGGGGTTGCTCCCTACGGCAAGGAAGAACTTCAGCTTGCAGGCAGTCAGGTTTCAGGGACAAACCTTAGTTTTCTGGAACACCCTTAGGAATGTTCTTGCATCGAGATCTTTAAGTAATAGTAATGGCTTAAACCCATTACTTTTCCCTCATCTCAAGAAAGTGGAAACACATGCATATAGTCAGACTGTAAGTAGTGCATTTAACTTGGACCAGCAGGAAGACACGCTTTCACACAGCCGGGAGAAACACACTACAGGACATATTGGAAAACATGGTTTTATATAAAAAAGTATTATATATATCTGAAACAAAATAATGTTACATGTGCAGTTTTATGCACCTGGCTGAATTAATCTGAAAGGTTTGTTCAATACAGGTTTAGCAAAACAGCACATGAGTGATAAACTATGAAAAACAGGGATTTTAAAAAGTAACACCAGCAAGAAAAAGAAGAATTTACCCATCATCTCATAGCCCCTGGGACACAATTACTCAATCAAATGAATAGGTTTGATACCTAACTTGCTCCGGGTGTATGCGTACTCTGTATCAGCAGACAGAAATAGCACCAAGTCAGAGGGATAAGGAGAGCGAAGACTCACCGGCCGTTGTCACGACCCACTCCCCAGACTCTGATGCTCACAATGGGCTGCGAATGAAGAACTGTGCGGTCCATGGGGTCAATCAGGTTCAGCATGTCATTTTCCAGTATAAGGTACATGTCTTTGCCCTGCAACTCCAGACAAAGTACAGTTACACAGTACATCTCCCTCTCAAACTGACTGTGATCAAGGTGTTATGCCTATGCTGTTTAGACTTGCATCCTCTTAATTTACTCAAAGTTTCAGTTTGTTCCAAGAGCAATTGAAAACAAGTTCATTTACTTCTGGTGTGAAAAAGATCTAAGATAGTATCTTGCTACTACTGTATTTTTAAACGATCCCAATCACAAAAAGCTTTGATGTCTTTTAAACGCAACTGTTTGACTCATCAACCTCAAGCTACTGAGTTATTCAACAAATTATGTGTTTATCCTTTCTCCAGTAAATTCTTCCAAATATATCAGAAGTCAAGAACTCTCTTAATAGTAAAAGCTTACATCAAAACCTCTTAAGGCAGAGTTTCTTCCTTCAAACAATGTGCTTCATTTCCATAAACTTTAACCAATGGGTCACGGGAACAGACAGCAATTTGTATATGTCAAAGAATTTATAGGATACTCTTTGAAGAAAGATTAATTAAAGGGGAAAACTTAGCATTAAGACATGAATGTGAATTCTGCTGGTGACTGCAGAATCCTGGAGCCCAGATTTCTCCCTAATTCTTCTGGCATGTAAGAACAAGGAGAATGCTTTTTCCCCTTAGAGGAAACAAATCTAGAGACAATTTTCCTTTTGATGCTAATTCACAAATGCTAGTCTTCCTCCTATGGCTAGCATCTGCAAAAGGTCTGCTGCCTCTTCTATCACATCTCATAGCTCTCTTCTCAGAGGCTGTACACCTACTCTGCAGATCACGAGATCCCACAGAAATGATCCTGGACCTATTACTGAGAGGTAAGACAAGCTCCTGCTGATAAGAAGGTGGGAGCTATCAGCTAAATATAGAGTAATTTGTTTCCTCTCTATTGTGCCAGAATCTATAAATGAACAGAAAGAATGGAAAGGGTCTGACTTCGTACTGACAAATGTTTCAAAAATGACCTTTTAGTTCACCTCAGTGACACAGAAACCCTCTTCCCGCTTGGTTACAGAGGCTCAAGTCTTAATGACGTCTGATTTTGTGTCTGTGTAAGACACACATTCATGTCACCCTGGGAGTGCCTGCTTCCAGGGTTTCCAGGCTAGGCAGCAAGGGGCAGGCACTGCCAACCACCTCTGCCACCCCCAGATCTCCTAACAGGGATTGAAAGGGGAGCTGTGACACAGAGCTGGCAGCGCAAGCGCCGTGAGGGGTGTGGGGGAGGAAGGGGACACAGGCTGGTATATACGATGCCAACACAAGAACATTTTGCCTGGTGGAAAAAGTACAGCTGTGTCTGAGCTGCAAGGCTGGATATATAGGCTGCTCCTAGAGAAGCAGAAACAGATGTAGCTGTGATAACCATACATGTAAATGGGGTGAATCAGCAGCACTGAACTGCTTGTGGCATGCAGAAAAAGAAACATGGGAAGTAAAACACAGAAGCCAGGATGGCACCAGGCAGACCAGGATGATGAAAGAAACCAAACAGAAAACAGTCATCACAAAGAAAAAGGGTGAGAAATTTGCTTGGAGGTCAGAAGCAGTAAACAGATTGTGTGAAGAATGTTACCGAGTGTCACAAAGATAGCTTTCTGGACCCATTTTCTATTTGTATATTTGTTCCAGAAGGAAATTATTACAAGAAGGTAAAATCTGTTCATCATGCAAAATATACTGGGATTAGGGTAATAAAACTGAATTCAAATTAGCTGGAAAAGATCGGAGAATGGGCAGATAAGCAACATAAGTCAAGGAAAATTATCTTTGCAATGCTCAAGGGATAGCTTGGCCGCAACTAGAAGCAATATATTTTGCTAAGTTTTGTTGCCTTATTATACAAAAGCTATTTTAGAGACGAAAACACTGCAGAGGGCAAGAAGAAATAATTTGGACAGACTGGGAGCTTGAACATAGGCCTCAATATCTCAGACTGCTGAAGAGCTGCAGAGACCTGATGGTCCAAGATGAAGAAGGCTCTCATGGGAAGAGCCACGCAGGGAAAGGGAATGGAGGAGAGACAGACTCAATCCCAGCAGCCTTTCAGGGAAGTGTTATATACTGTGGTATACAGGTCAATGGCAACAATGAATCTTTTTCATGTAAGTGATTTTGTAATGTACAGGAATATAACGCATGGCAAAGTAGCAACACAAACAGATGAGTTGCATTTTTCTTCTTAGATTTTACAGAACCGTGGTAGTTAGAAATTTACAGGGTATTTCTTTTGGAGAGAAGCGGAAGGCATGAAATCCCACATTAAAGCCAGTAACAAAGCTTCTGTAGGGTCAGGATTTTACGCAGGGTGTGGGGTTTTTTGTGTTTTGCTTTGTGTTTTTAAATCATGAAAACTTGGGGATGGTCCTAGTCCCAATTTCACTTTCATTACATTATAGCTAAAATAAATCTTTAGGCAATCTTAAAACCTCCATCTGCAGTCATCAGTTCTAGCTTCGTAATAGATTTCTGCTGTATGTGCTCCATCTGATATGTCAGTGACGGGCACACTTTCTTCAGCTTCCGCTCTAAAACGTGCTCTTTCCAATCACTCTTAAAGCATTACATTGCCAGCAGAAAAATGTGGTTGTAATGATTTCTTTTAAAATCAAGATGACAATTTACTTCAGGGGCCATGTATTCAAGCACAGTGTGTCTCGTTTTGTCAGGCTGATTTTTTTTATTTTTTTTATGAATAGTATTCTTAATTAAAACTTCCATTCAAGGGGACCAAAACTTTTCACCAGTTTGGCTTGGAAACCTGCAAGGGTTTCCAACAAAGAACAATAGGACTGACAGAGATAAATATGGAAAAATGTGAGTATTAACTCAAACCAGTGAACATTAACTCTTAAATCAGAATAAAGCACACGATTCCGAAGTAAATGATATATTTCAAGTTGATCAAAAGTTCTGTCATCTGAAAAATGGATGGGATTACACACATGTAAAGAGAGTGGGGTTTTTTCCCTCCCCGGGTCAGCAAAAAGTCCATGACTGACACATCTCTAACTGCTTGTCCAGCTATATTAACTAAATAAAACTGTTCCCAGAAGTAAGAAAAAGAGACACCAATGTTATCTTATTCACGTATACGTACAATATAAATTTCTTACATAGAAAAACACTTCTGAAATTACTTTAAACAGATAGGGCACTCTAAATGTGTCCCTTGAAACCTCATTCCCATTTTTAAACAGGCACTTTCTCCCAGTTGCTCCTCTGAAGTGTCTCTGCATTGTTGTGGTCATAGTCAGGACACTAGACTCAAGCTTTAGACTGCAACAATAACTTGTGAGACTGAAGGATATTTTTCCTAAAATTTTTACTGAAATCGACAAGTTTTCTTTTAATTCCTCTTCTGTTT